ATAGCACTTGCATATTACTGCTCGTTCGTAGGTTGTGATGGCTTCTATTGTCCTCATTTGTTAGTCGCTTTGGATAAAAGTGTCTTGTAAATAACAAAATTTTAATATAATGTAAATGTAAATAACAAAACTAAACTAAAATTTTAAAACAAGCCCCAAATCAAATAAATAACACAAATAAAATAAATCTCTTCATATAAACAAAATAAGGCTTTGTCTGTGCTCTTTCCATTTAAAATTAGAGGCAACCACTGCATTTTAATCTTGATCCAAACAAAGATGCTGCATACATGCAACATGAGCACTTTTTAATCTATATTAGATTGTACAATTTAGAAATTTGAAGCAGAAACAGAATGGTTTGACTTCAGTTTTGTGAAACTATAAATAAAAATATCTGCATGAAACGGATGAGCTGAATGAGACGCAGATTCACTCTCTGCCAGCAGGTGGCACTTAAAGCGTTTCGTTGGTTTCCGCTGTAAACAAAGCAGTGCTGCACTTATGAACTTTAATATGCATTATACAGAGGCAAGAGGAAAAGAAAAAATACCATCTAAACTTTTCTAAAGACAGTAAGTTCCCCTCAGACATGCATTCATATAAACTCCTACCCCTAATTGAATCGCGATTTGTTTAGCATCTCAACCGATTTGAATCATCACATATTTGAATCGTTTTTCAACCGGCTCGCGGTTAATCGTTACATCCCTAGTCAGTATTATGTTGGATAATAATGTATCAGTTAGGTCTCACAGCAAAAAGCACGGTATTTATGCCTCTAATGGTTTATAAAGTATTCGGACACTAATCTGCACATTTGTATTATTGCTAGAGTGTGATTATTGGATGCTGCTGTGTGCAGGTGTGTTTATGCCGGTGGGTTTGGTGCTGCAGCCCTGGATGGGCTCTGCTGCGATGGCTGCCTCCTCTGTGTCTGTAGTGCTGTCTTCCCTCCTACTCAAATGGTAAACCTCTCTGATCTTCACACAGTTCGATTTAATAAACATTTTTGCATGCTTTAGTAACAGGCTTTGCTATTTTGGACTCAGCAGGCTTTTTAAGTGTTTCCTTTAGATGCTCAAAAGATTGACTTGACTAGGCCTGCGCGATTAAAACGGTATCAGTATTTATTGACGGTACACCTGATACAAAACGATAGAAAAAATGTGCAATATACTGCAAGACAGTTTCATGCTCGTTTCATTTAAAGGCGCGTGCTATGAGTGACAAGCCAATAAATTGTGACATCAGAACACACGAATGCTGAAATAAGTGTCATGCATGCCTGCGATGAGGAGATTGTGAATGAAAAAGGAATATTAGTCGAATTTAAAATAAAAATGTGCATTCAAATCCAAAAACTGTACTGTAGCCTATCCAGTTGAACCCACGAGATGCACCACTGCTGCGTTTTTCATTCAGAATATTCGAGAAATACAGAAGCTCAATGTGGAGTAGAAAATTGGTTTGGTTAAAACCAAAACCAAGCCATTCTCACAGAGTGCATTTTCGAGACGGGCAACTATGACTGTTGCACTCGCGTCTCACACAAGAGATGTATAGAAAAGCCATGTAAAGTTAAAAGAGGTGCAACTTTTAGAAAACATGTCTCGGGAATTTGTTGGGAGTTTATTCCATTCTACTGCGTCTCATATGTTTTTGTGTTTTGTCAACAAAACACAATAACTTTAATACAGTTGCTTAAATAAGAATCAAAGTATAATTCATGTATTTAGTGTTTTATTTTTATATTTGTTAAATCAATTTCTTGAATGCTACTTCTAAATACGCCTACTGTACCTGAGAAATAAAGCACTGTTTGTTTTATTTGTATATTGTGTATTTGTAATGTGTATCTTAGTTCTTATTTTTTAATAACGAAGATAAAATGGCGACAAAGATTTTTATCTTCGCCCCCTTTGGCCTAAATATCTGCCACACTTTTGTATTTTGTTACCTTGTAAGGCTTTGGCCTTAAGCTAAGTTAAGCTAAAATAGGGAAATTAGTTTGGCTTTACTGCTCAGACAACTTAGTCAAACTCAGACAAAACAGTACAACCAACATGGTAAAGGATCGTGATATTCCTGGAAAAAAAAATTGTGATATGATATTTTTGGCGTATCGCCCACCTAAAATTATTTGTTGTTTGTCTTAATAGATTGTGTAAATTAAAAATACACTGGTTAAATTGAAACCTTTTTTTCTACTGCTCTTTCCTGCAAAATGGTTATTAAAAAATGTCAATAATTATCGATACCGAATGATATTAAACAGTAGACCTGTCACGATAAGCAATGTATCACCCCAGAAATAATTGCGATAAGCGATAGTATTGTCATTTTAAAGACCATTTTATGCCACTGAATATATAATCATAATTTAACAGCATAATAATGCAAGAAGGCCTACACACTTCCAAATGACAACAAACTTTTAATTCTTAAGAATATTTAGATCATGGAAATTAAGTATCAAAATACTAGATATCTTAAAAAACTTGAATAAATAGTAAATAAACATTTTCTAACAAAAAGTGCAAAGTAACAAGAAAAAAGAAAAATGCACAAAGAACTTGAATGGAGATTTTTCCCTGACCTTCTTTTCTCTGTAAATGAAGAGTGCACACTATTGCTGAAAAACACAATCACTACTCAGCAGTCAGATGTCCAGATGCACAAAGGCACAGATCCCTAAACAAGGCCATATCTGCAGATGAAACTTTGTTTGTAGAAGCATTTTTTAAATTTTGAACGAGCACCTCATGACTACACCACGTTATGAACGAGAAGCTGCAGAAGACCCGGCGCAAGTGGAATGCAAAAAACATGGTGACATAAATTTTTATGTAAATATAATGGGCGATATATTGCGTCACCAAAAATTATTGAGGTCATGTACATATATTGTGCGATATATTCGCACATCGATATATTCGTAAGTTGATATATTGATTATTGCGACAGGCCTATTAAACAGTATGTCGTGATCAGAGTTGGGTATAACGCGTTACAGAGGAATTGCGTTACTTAAGTTACAAATGCAGACTGCAGTGTTCAGAAATATGAAGTAAAAATCGTTTTGCGCATCAGTATGCCCTTTAATAAATCCCCGGATAATGCGAGCTAAAATGCAGACGAGTCCTACAACATTCAGATGCAATTGCAATTAAAGGTTATCTATCATATTTCAAAATGTTGCACTCGATTTCACATATTTTAGTCAGGCATTATAGTTTTGGAAAAGTTCAACAAGTGAATGTGTACAAGTTTATGTCACAGTAACACTAATATAGGCCTAAGTAAAAATAAATGACTCATCAGAAAGAGATCTTTCGCATTGAGCCGCGTCGGCATCGCATTCTTCTTCTGAGGTAAATTCAAGGCTTATTCCTCATAGCGTGTCTTCTTCCGAAAACGAAAAGTAGCCGAGATGAACTTGATGAATTGAGGCGATGTGGGCGTTCACATATTTGCGCGTCGCGAGCCTGGTTTCACGTGGATGATTTTATAGCATGCGATGTGCGTGATCGCATTATAGGTGAGCTCAAGACTGTACCTCGCGGTGGTTTCATACGGATTATTTTAACAGAGAATATTTGTTTTCGACATGACTGACTTCAGTTAAAAATAGACACTTCAAGCTTTCTTTAGATATGTTTCTCGTATGCGTGTCAAGTATTCTATGAGTTTCGCTTTGTAGTGTATTTTTTAGGTTTGATAACTTGAAAAGTAAATTAAACTTGAAAGTAACTTGAAAGTAATTAGTAATCTGATTACTTTTTAAATGCAGTATTTCAATTCAATTCAAGTTTTTTTGTATAGCGCTTTTCAGCTATCCTAGGTACTACCAAAAGTCCAGAGTTTTTCGACCTTTACAGTAATCAGACCTGAGTAATGTAATCAAAATACAATTGTAAAGAAGTAATTTGTAGTGGATTACTTTTTTTGAGTAACTTACCCCAACACTGGTCGTGATCATTTTCAGCTATATTGCCCAGCCCTGAACTTGACCCTCGTTCCCTGTTTCTGCAGCTACACTAAACCCAGCGCTGAGAAACTGGAGAGACGACTGGGCGAGGTGAGAAGACACGGCAGCCTGTCTGAAGTTAGCGTTCACATCGGCATGGGAGAGCTGCGCCGGTCCTCGCCCAAACTCAGCCTGCTCGACCGCTTCGTCAACTACAGCCGGGCCTCCATCAACTCGCTGCGCTCCGACAAGCACTCGATGAACAGCATGGCCCTCAGCGAGCCCGACAAGCACTCTCTGCTGGTGGGAGACGCTCACTGCGAGGAGGAGGTGGTCTGAGCTTTACCTCAGTGCCTGTAGACGAGGGGCGTCCCAATTCAGTCGCCCCAGGAGAGGTTTGTCACTGTGATGCTGCATGGATCAGCTTACACAGCTTTGGCTGTCCGGCCGTTCGAGAGGCTCTCCGTTTACATTACGAGTATTCTTGCTGGCCAATTTAAAGGGATAGTACACCCAAAAATGACAAACACACTCAAGTTGTACCTGTGTGAGTTTAGCCACAGTTGAGCACAAAACAAAGGTGTTTTGCATATGTTTGTAACCAAACTGTTGCTAAATGCTATGAAAAAATACTATGGAAATCAATAGGAACCAGAAACGTTTTGGTTACCAACATTATTCAACATATCTTCCTGTGTTTAGCACATGTACAGGTTTGAAACAACTTGAGGGTGAATAAATAACAGGGTTTTTATTTTTGGATGCACTGTCCCTTTAAAAATGACAATCCAGGTAAGGAAAATCAACTACAAAATTTTTATTTTTATTTTTGTGAAAACAGCAATTTAAAAGTGATTTATTGTGTTTTATGATCATTATTAAGTGAATATTTATTACACCTTTTATTTATAGTATATACCTTGTTGTGGGACATGAAGGAATGTGAAGATTTATTTTAAAGGTGAACAAACTTTTCATATTTTCCTCAAGTGCTGAGATGCAGTACATTCCAAAGAAAGCAGCGATCTGCTGTCTCAGAAAGATCAGGTCGATTGTGATGGGGTCACACAAGTTAGTAACCAAGAAAACGCTAAACCATTTTAAGTGTCTTTTAAGATTCAGCATATTAATTTTATTGTTCGGCAACACTTGAGCTGCCTTTGCCACATTTAAATGTGTATTATCTCGTAACTTTAAGCTTTTAAATGTATTTTTTATTTTTTTTTATCTTCATTTGATTTCAAAACCGTTTCCAAAGCCGTTTGTGCATTAATGCCTGTAACAGATACATAAATATTCAACATGTTGCAGCACAACCTGAATCAGGTTACTGAAATACATTACTGACTAATACATTCTAAGCTTTTGAAATATTATTTTTTTAAATTATCCAATATATATATATATATATATATATAAAAAAAATTACCCAGCGGATGTTTTGTTACTGTGTCATTTAAGGTCAATTAAGCGATGCAGTCTTCAAACGAAACAAGTGCACTCGTTAGTAAGTAATGATTAGTTGTTGCTTGTTTTTGCCAAATGTGTTCAAAGTGGAATGACAATGTAAACATCCTGAAATTGTGATTTATGCACTTGATTGTTTTACTAAATGTGGTCTGGGATGATTCGTATTGTAGTTTTGCATCTTATTCTTTCAATAAACAGCCAGTTTTCAATAAGCCAACATGCATTCATTAAATACTTTTTTTTCGGTGCAAGAGAGGCTTGTTGATTTACATATAAATGTGCACTTGCTTGCAATGTTTAAAAAAAAAAATCTGATTAGCATTTTGGCAATTTTGTGATTTCTAAAAGTGCTGTCACATTAACATTTCTGTAAAATTTGGCATCCAAAACAGGTGTATTGTCTGCAGCAGAGGCGTGAACCATCGCTCACATAGAAGTAACTAAGCTTTCTGTTTGTCAACACTGCAAATTTGGGAGACCAACTTTGGTTTGAAAGTGACTTCTGTGTGAAAGTTTTCAATATGAAGTTGGAAATCAATAATCAAAAAAAGTAAAAGTTCACCTCTGATCTCTAATTATCAGTCAGAAATGGCAGAGCTGGGTAGATTACTTACAAATTGTAGTCTATTACTGATTACCGATCACATTATGAAAATTGTAGTTTAGTAACATAATCTTTTGGATTACACATATTAGGTAATGTATTCGGACTACTTTTTGATTACTTTTGACCTAACGCATTATAAAATATTCTCCATTATTCGTTATCAACAGCATTAAGTGCATTGAACATTTCATTACACCTGGGTTTCCCAAACTGTGGTTCCTGAAAGAAGGGTTTGATTCCAAATATGCAGTAAGATTTTTTTAAGAAAGGACAATTTAAGAGAGCAAAAATAATAAGGGTGTGTCGTTACATTATGAATAATTTGCTGCCGTTTTGCAAATAATATGTAGTCATGTGATCTATAAAAAGTAACTAATCTGATTATGACCACTTTAAAATGTAATGTAATCTAATTAGGAGTAAATTTTGGGATCTGATTATGTAATCCAGGTTACATAGTACATTAGTCAGACATAAACCAATGATAAGCATTCTGATTCAGACACTGTTTAGCATAGTTAGTTTATTATTATTATGATGAGTGCACGAGATAGAACAAGCAAAGCATACATAAGTAAACAGCGTTTTTTGTCAGACATTCAGATGAATACAATTTTTCTTCTTTTTTTTTTTTTTTATGAAAAAGCCATAAAAAGTGACATTTTAGCAACACTCATGATTCAATAATGGTGTCTACTATTGTAACCCTTTTTAAAACCATTTTGATTGAGAGTTGTAGACAAACCTTAAAAAAAAAGATATTTATTACTCCAAGAAAATAAAAAAGGGCCTTCAGTGTGGCCAAAGTCTCTTGGGCACTTCATCTGCCTTTATGCTCATTTTGTTTCTTGTACAGACAACTGTCTTATATAATACGAAGTAAAAATATTTTTCTTGAAGATTTAAAACTCTGTGTGTATGATTTCTGATTCTTCTAATAAGAAAGCTGTAAGAAATGTGAATCGGTTCAAAAGGTAGTCTACATTATTGTCTTGCTCCCTATGTGATATATTGTCATTATTACATCTGTTTATAGCTAATTAAAGGGGTCATATGATGTTGCTAAAAAGAACATTATTTTGTGTATTTGGTGTAATGAAATGTGTTTATGCAGTTTAAGGTTCAAAAAACATTATTTTCCACATACTGTACATTATTGTTTCTCCTCTATGCCCCGCCTTTCTGAAACGCGTCGCAAAACGAACATTTTCTCCACAAACTCAGATCGCGCGTGTGCAAAATGCACTTTTGTGCACTCAAAATATGATCTTTCGCGCGCAGAATTGTGGCAGAAATGTAAGCCCATAAACTTGTAGCCAATGCACACTTTTTAAACCGATGCATCGCATCGTTAACTTTTTATGCCGATGCACCGAGCGAATCAGTGAATCTTCCCATCCCTACAGCACACTGATCCACTCGAGACTAAAAAGTCTACAAAAACATCTTTTTAATTTTTATAAATTGCATTGTGCAAAAGTGCAAAGTGAATTAAAAAAAAAATGGACACAAGCAAACGTGTCAACACATTGCTATCTTCAGTGCTCTCTTAAACAACATTCACCCTTTTTAAGTAGGTCAACAATTAAAGACAATCAGCTGAATTCAATTATCTCAGGTAAACCTCAATTAATCACAAGCTCGATTCAAAGGAATCTTTCAAGATCATCAAACACGTGATCCGCGTGCTCTGGTTCACTATGGGACTCACTGAACAGAGCTGGTATCGTGCAGAGCAGATATATTTGCTGTTTTCTCCTTCTGAAGTGTTGAAATTCCATTTTGGCTGGAATGTTCATGACTGATCATTCTCAGTTATCAGCAGTTTCGTGTTACATTTACTGATAAGTTCAGTGTTAATAGTGGCTACCTTCCCTGACCAGCTGGAAATCATCCTCTTAGCAAAACATGCTAAACATGTCTCTTTGTGTTAAGCTTAATTCTTTCATAGACTCTCTTTGAGCCTTGCTATGTGAGCGCCACCTTCTGGTTATTATGTACATGCTCATGTAAATTGGTATGTTGTGAAAGATATGACAATTAAAAAAAAAAAAACTTAAATGGATCATTTTGAAATATTCACGGATTAAAGTTTTTTGCTCTCAAGATTGATCAGTAACATGAGTCGTATGGGCTTACATTTCTGCCACAATTCTGCGCGCGAAAGATCATATTTTGAGCGCACAAAAGTGCATTTTGCACGCGCGCGATCTGAGTTTTGTTGAGATAATGTTCGTTTCGCAAAGAAAAAAGTCTTTCGAGCGCACGGAAATCAATTTTGCATTTAAAATACGTTTTTGGATGTGTGCAGACCTTCTCTTTTGCGAGTGCAATGTTTCACTAGCTTGCTCCCTTGATGCCTGCCCTCAGTGCTCTCTAAATGCCAACGGCTCGCGTGCTCAACACAACCCAGCGTTACAATGTGCCATAATTCCAGCCAATCAGAGACTAGGCTGCTGAATTCTGATTGGCTGCCTTGACAACCAATCACAACATTTCTTGCATTACCTCGACAGCAGAAGAGGATAAATACAGTGCATGCATAATTATTATGCAAGTTGATATTCTGATTATATTTTTTTCCAAGCACATTTTACCAATAATTATAACTACTATTAATCTTGTATTTAATCACTTATAATCTATATATTATTGTTCATGAAGGCTGGAAGTGAAAAACGCCTTATATTCAGGTGTGCATAATTATTAAGCAGGTTATCTTCTACAGATAAAATCTCGAGATGGACTAAAAATGAACTCCCAAAACTTACTGCCAGATTCTGGAAGATAAATTCTTCAAACAGTGGTACAAGAGGATGTGGTGCTGGTCCTTCAAGAGTCACTCTCAGCTTATCTGTCTATAAAGCCTATATACAGTATATATACTGTATATGGTTTCTGGTGATTTCACACCTAATTCTTCACCTTAATTCCTAATTCTTTTGCAGTTAACAGGCATCTTTTCTTCTCCACATGTTTTTGGCTGACCCTGCTGACCACTGAGCATTTTGCTGTCCAATGGTTATGCATTAACTTTGCAATTTCTAGTATTGTATTAGTTTTGAATATTTCTCATGGGCATTTAATAATTTTTGACTTTCAGCCTGTTAAATCTCTTTTTTGGCTCATTTTATCTGTAAAAGAAAATCTGCTTAATAATTATGCACACCTGAATATAAGACATTTTTCACTTCAGCCTTCAGCCTTCATGAATAATTATATATCAATTATAAATTATTAAATACAAGATTAATAGTAGTTATTAAGATTGATGTCGTTTGGAATTGGTAAAATGTGCTTGAAAAAAATAT